AAAAAAAAACTTCATTGTCAAGGTCATTGACAAGTAACCTTATATTAGCACTTTTATTCTTGAACTTTATGCATATTTTTAAAGATTATATATCTCCTAAAATTGTTTGACTCAATAGCTTTTAATTTTAAAACACTCAAGTACATAAATATAGTGTATACATTTATGTTGTATCGTATACACGATAGAAAATTTGAAAATTTAATACCACTCTAGAATAAAGTGAAAAACATTTAAGAGGTTTTCGATTTCAAGTAACTTCGTATGACCATTATCCTAATCTAAAAGAGTGAACGGTCTTTTTCAATTTGATATGCAGAGAGTACAAACTATAAGATTTCAAATGTGTATCTATACACGTGTTTTAAATAACATGACAAATGAAATCCTTAATAATTATCCTTTTTCGAATTTTAAATGCGGTAAACGAATATAAAAATTGAATTATTTCTAAAACATTTAAAAAGTAAAATGTGTTGCAAATTAGTTTGATGTACATTTTATAGACTACGGTCTAGTACACACGATAATAATTTTTGGTAAGATCATTGATAATTATGTGAAACGATTATTTTTAAAATAGAGCAGTCACGAAAATCATATCATCGAAAAAATATTGCACGATGGCAATTTAAAACGAACTGAAAATAAGAGCAAGAAGAACACTCGTAATATTAAATACCTTTTCAAATCGAATGTAAGATTAGGTGCATTTCGAAGGTGTAAACATTGTTTATGTACATGATTTCGTGAAATGTCCATTAAACGTTTCACTCGGACATCACTGTTTACGGCTTATGGTCGGCAACAGTAACGTATCGGTATTTTACGTTGAAGCGCTATTACATTTGGATTTGTGGGCGTGAGTAATTCAGTAACGTCAATCGTTGGTTCAAGAGGTTGTACGGCCTGCGTAAAACACGTGCGCGTCGATTTCAGAAGATTAATCCGTAAGACGGTGCGATACGATGACGGTTTGCTCGTACAACACGCTGCAGTTGACAAAAAAAAAAAAAAAAAACAAAACAAAACAAACGCATAATAATATTTTAAGCACCGCACACACGTATAGCCCGCAACAGGTATGCGTATATGTGCGTGCGTGCGTACGAGCCACGTAATAAAATATTACACTTTATCGATACCGTTGCCGCCCCGTCCCCCGAAAACCTGCTCTTTTCTCAATCGCTCGCGTACCACACGTATAAATATTATACAGATCTTTGGCCCGAATAATTAGTCTTCGACGGTGTTCGTCCGAGGAGATGTGTATCTTCCGATGACAGCGTTTCACACCTTTAGAGACGGTTAATGATGTAAACAGTTACGGGTTTAATGACCACCCGCGGTAAGTCCGATCATGTCCGGCTATTGTTTCCCCTCCGCGGATACGCAGCAACACCGCCGATCGTAGACTGTAAAATGTTGTATAGCGTACGGTTAAAAAAAGAAAAGAAAAACAATTTAAATTAATACCGTACGTACATTATTATGTACACACGACCAGACCTATATACACGTATACACGTAAAATACTAAGATCCGTCACAATAATGTAATAATGGACGCGTGTTATTTCTACATCGCAGCCGTCCGGATCACACCGCAATAAATTTCACTTCGTCAAGTCGTTCGCAGCGGCATCCTCTTTCACGTCAACGGACCCAAAAATACCAAGGTAAACATTCGAATGAACCGGGGAGAAAAACCACATTTCTGGTTTTTATTTTCTATAAGGATCCGCGTCGCGACTTGTTTGCTGCACATAAATGGTTAAATGGGTAAAATGTATTGAAAAAAATAAAATAGAAATCGATTCCTTGTGGTTTGATTTTATATTGTCTACACAATCGTCATGTGTTTCGCGCCTAGTCATCCGACCATTACGGTGTAGTACATGTAAGATACGGGAGATGTTTATCACATAACCGCTGTCGTCGTTTTGTGTGCGTGTGTTCTCCAAAACAGATAATACCCCTCAAAATATCGGAAAGGTAAATCCACGTCTGCGCCCACATGCGGAGAACAAGTCTTTTTTCGCAGCACCGTCTACGATGGCACCTGCAGGTACCTACCTCTGTGTATACAGAGCGGTCCGGAAGGTTTTCTCTTTCAGCTAACACGATACGACCGCCTGCAGGACACGCATTCGAGGACAAACATTCGTTTCCCTTGAAAAAATCAGCGAAAAACTTGACAAGAAACAAAGTTCCGGCAAAACCCGTCTCAGGGATTTTTTATTTTTAAGAACGATAAAAGTTAATTATACTTCCCACGCACCAGAAACGGATTACGTGTTCCCGCGGTTACTCTACTGTAGTCCACTCTGTATGTGCACGTTTGTTCTCGCGACCGTAAACGTGGCGGTACGTCTGTCTTAACGTGCGTGTGCGCGCGCTTGTGTCAGACTAAATGGCGCTAAACACTGTCCTTACCGCATCCTGTCCTTTTTATTAGACGCGCAACATTTAAACGTTGTGTAGGGTCAAAAGCATTACGATACATAAATTTCGACGAAAAGAATGTCCTGCGTTCACGAGGTTGACGTGTGCAGTACACAGTAATATGAACACAAGGCTCGTAAATTGTAGACTCCGTATCGCTTACAACTCGTGTAGGGTTTTGTCTTCTGTGTCTTGGCAAACGTGATCGCGGTCTTGAACAAAATTACAACAACGCCCTTTTAGAAGAATAAAACCCATCAAGGGAGGTAAAATTATATAAAAGTGCAATGATTAGCGTAGACTGCAGGGCTTACGGGGGAAAAAAAGTTCGTACTTTACATGGGTTGTATACAATTTGTAAAAGATTCAAATTTCAAAAATTGAAATTCGATCGAAACCGGTTCACGCGCGGTGTATTATTTTGTATGTTAACCGGTCGGGAAAGTGAAATAATACACGGTGTACGGTATAGCCGATGAAAAAAAAAAAAAAACTATATCTTCCAGACACTACGTGTCATTGATAAATGTGCAAGAGTTTTTCGACTTATATGTACATATATAATATTATATGCATGTGCTATACACCGCAGATATTCGCTCAACAAGCTTCTCGTTGCCATAATGATATCACGTGTTTTACTGACGCGAAAAATATGTTACAATTAAAAGTATACAATTATTTGGAAAAATTTATTCTAATGATTGACATTTTGAAAACGAATAATAATCACTATAAATAATATGTTCGTAAACAAAATAATGGATTAGTATTGATTAAGTAACTGTTAAATATTTCATTATAATATAATATTATTTAAAAAAGAAAAAAAAAATAAGCGACATATTTTTTTTATAATTTATACGGTTGATGGAAATTTTAAGACTTAAAAATGTACCGTATTGTCATGGCATTCTAAAATCTTCAAAAATTTAAAATTTATTAGAATTGATTTCTGATTAAAATGATTTGACTTTATTTTGGAGATTTACAACAACTCACATTTCTTGATTGGTTACTAGTGTTACTATTACACAATAGCATGGGTACGTCACGTTAATATGGCAGTGTGTTCATAGGTATTAAATAAAATTAGCAATAACTTAAAAAAATTTTATTATCGATGTATACTCATCTTAGTATATTGAGTTTTTTTTTAGGACTGATATAGAATTATATTATGTGTAAATAATAAATAAATCCTTATATGTGAAAAAAGTCATCGAGGAAATAATTAATTTTTTCTAAAAATAAATTTGATCTGATTCAAGTGCTAAATAACCGACGTGCACACATACGATTACGTGCGAAAAAAATAATATACAGGTTTATGATTATTTTAAAAAATAATTTATATCGGAACCCGCGCGAATACTAAACACTGCATGTATAACCTCGACTGGCACGACTTAGTTCGGAGAAATCGCCCGTATTTAATTTAATAAGATCATTTTTTTTTTATCCTATCGCCATTTTTAGCATCGCATCGTTTAGTCGTGCACGCAGTCGAACGAACGCTTAAAATATTTCATAGCCGCGGTGATTTTTTGCATTAGAAGGTTTTTTACCCTTTACATCAGATTGCGTTAAATTCTAAAAAACCTTAGTCATGAGACAATATAAATATATACATACATAAAGATGTACCTGTTCATAAAACGGTCGTCACTATTGAACAAAATATTAAATTGAAAAATTAAAAAACATAAACTAAACCCATAGTTAAATTATTTTATTGTAAATATATTTATATTTGTAATTTTTCTTTGTTTTTAAACAACTGACATTTATATCTACGCTGTAAACTATATCGCTGTACTCTTTATCCCTTTGGGATGTTACAACTTGAAATAAATAAATAAAATGAGGAGGAATCGGAGGACATTCTAAACACCTCTACAGGTGTATAACGCTTTCAGAACCGACTGGATCCCAAGAACAGAGATGTAAGTTTCGTAGGCCAGGACAACCGATACCCACTATACGCACGTCGCAGTGCCGGCTGCTCTGTACCCAATATAATTATTATATACTACTGCAATGAGTTTTTTACGACAACCGCAATAGAAACCGAGTGACGGCTCGACATTTTTTCCCCTCGATACGTAATATCACCTTTGCACCGCGAACCACTAGAATTTTTTTTTTTTTACTATTCAATGTTTATGTTGCATGAAATGAGTTTTAAAACGTCACGTCATGTCCGACATCGAGTGTGTGTTGAGTATACGGTTAATGTTTTTTAAGGAGTGCGCGCGCGTGTGCCTTGTCAATACGATTGTAAAACGAACATTTAAAACCAATAGTCGTGATGAACGGTTTGCGAATCAAACACTCTCCCCCCCCCCTTCCCCCCCAGGGCCATGACTCGTCACGAAGCGCAACGAACGCGTCGGAACAGGAGTGACGGTCAAGAGAGCGATACGTGGCCGGCGGTGTACGGTACGCGCGCATTGCTGAAAGACCACGTCGCGCCAACAGCACAACGTAACCGCGCGGCGCGCACACTCGTATATAATATGCGGCAGCGTGGATCGCTGCACGTGTGCTACGTACCCGGTTTCCGGTGACGCGAACGACGTCTGTTTGGCGGTCACGTTGCCGGAGCTCACGCGCACCTCGATCTCGCCGTCGGGCAACGCGTTCGCGGACACGGTGTCCGCGACGGCGGCCGGCATCCGCGGGAGCAGCGTGGCGACGGCCACGGCCACGGCGAGCGCGGTGACGAACAGTCCAGCGGCCCGGGACAGCGTGACTCGGTCGGTGGACGGACTGCGGTTCATGCCATCCGCGGTTGGACCGGAGCCGACCGGTCGGGTTCTCGGGGACGGCGGTGCCGGTGCGACGAAACCCGTGCGAGCGACTGCGAGATACGGTTCCGCGGTGCACGCGTTGAACACACGTTGAACGCGGTCGGACGGGACGAGCGTCGAGTGCGCGGCGGCTGTTCACGCGGTACGAAAATATACCGTTCGCGAACGTGCGTACGAAGACGACGACCGGACCGGACCGGTGAGACGGCGATTGTGCTCGCGGACACACGTGCGTGCAGCGATTGGTGGTGCGCGAGCCGCGGACGTTCGTCATCGGCGGTGCTCGCGATGCCGCCGCCGCCGCCGCTGCCGCCGCCGCCGCCGCCGACGTACGCGCGAACCGAGACTCCGCCACTCCCGATGTCACTATTCTTTCCGCCGTGCCCGTGTCCGTGTGCGGACGCCGCTGTTACATCGCGTGTCGCGTACAATGTTTCCCCTCCGGTGATCGTATTAATTTTTTTCCGCGTTCCCCACGCGAGGTCTTTAGACGTTTACTTACGGTTTCCGATACCGGTCACCTACGGGGGGAGGGGGGGACTTCTATACCGGATTTGCGGTTGCACGCGAATCGCGAGTTCCGAGATCCCTGTTCCGCGTGTATCCGCGTCGCCGACACGTGTTTTATACGGTTTTCCGCGAATCTCGCCCGGTGTCAATACATCGCTTCTAACGTTTTCATTTTGTATTTTTAACCCGATTAAAAATCAATGCGTACAGAATGAGAACAATTTTTTTCCCGCGCACCTACGGTCCTTTTTTTTTTTTACTGTGTTGTTCAATAAATGTACACAGGTTTTTTGTAAATTTCATTAACTGGTTTCAATGAAGTTAAATGAATTTAAATAATTACTTGTTTCGTACACGATAAGAGTATAACTTGTAATGCCTAAGCGAAACAATTAAATAAAAATATCATTCGAAATTCGTTCGTATACCCGCCGATCGGATTTTTGTATCTGCTTTCCTGTAAAACGTTTAGGAGGATGTTCTCTAAAACCCCGATAAAACACACGAGTATTACCTACCGACTATTTTTTTTATTTTTTTTTATAAATTATTATTACCAGGCCTTACGTAAATAATTTCATGTGTCTGTGGTCATCGCATACAAAAACGATGTTGAAATAAATAAATAAAAAAATACTTAGCGTTTTATGTACGTTACAAATAATATTTGCACTTTTCAAAGGAGTTATATTACATTTGTGTACCTATATACAACCTATGTAGATGTATTGTTATTTTTTTTTTTTTTTATTATTATTATTCGTTTATGTTTTATACATGTTATATTTTTTATCGTTTCTCTTTTTTATCGTACGACACATTTTATACAAAAAAAAAATGTGTATTTATTAACGATCATAAAGTATTTGTTTTAACCCTCCCGCAGCCATGATTATCTCTTTGACCTTGATTCGCATACATAAACCTATACACATCACTATACAATCATTTTCTAGCTACGCTTGTATCGTACATAACCTACAAAATATATATTATTTTATTGCCATAATTATGAAAAACACCATTGAAATAAGTCATATGATTCATTCCAAAAATTATAGTGTTATATAACTATAATGCTCCGTACAACATAATTATTTTAATTGGTGTATTACCACTATAGTTGTTGCTGTTGCAATAAAGCGTAATAATATTCTTAACAAAATGTAGAGATCGAAAACAAACCTCTCCTTCCTATCTTACATAGGTAATTTTAACTACACACAAATCAATATAATTATATTACTGTCGTATTTGTTATGAACGAATATGAGAATTGATTCGATTTATTCTTAATTATTAAAAAAAAAAAAAATTAATAAAATTAACTCTGAGATCGACTAAAATAATAGCACATAAAATATTAATATCCACCGCACCTAATTATTCGTTTAAAGAATCTAAAAAAAATATCAGCGTAGTATTTATAGTCACGGACTATATTTGTCAAATCTAATTTAATCATATAGATAATCTAGGATTGAAAATATATTTAATTCTCAAGATTGATCGTATAGAATAACTGACAAATAAAATGTCTAATATTAATGGTGGTATTTTTTTATTTAAAAAATTGCATTTTGAATTCGCAATCAAACTGTCCACGGGTATTTAAAAAATTTTAATCAAACGTTAATAATCTTAAAAAAAAAAACTATTAAAAAATACTTTAATATAGTAATAATTAAATATTAAAAAATATTAAAATTTTATAAAATATGAGTAATTGTTATCGAAAGCTTACGAAGTAATTATACAACCGTATTGTATAAATTTTTGTACACGTTTTAAGCGAAGCTGTATTGACAACTAAAAATAATATTGTTTTAAAATGCATTTTAACGCATATAATAATTATATTTATTTAGGAAAATCAATAAACCATCGACAGTGTATAATGTCGAAAATTATACAAATTACATTATTCACATATTGTAGTCTAATATTTATATACTCTAAATACAAAACGATCGTATGCGGTACGTCTGAAGCTTAAAATATAATATGGGTTTGCTGAACTTTGCCAATTTATAAGCTGCCAAGAAGTTAAGAACATTGTGTAAAATCTAAAAACATAGCATATTATTACTCTCTCTGTGCTATGTTATATTCTAAATTTTAAACAAATGATTTAGTCAAGTAGGTAAACCAATCTATATTAAACTTCATAATACACGTGTTTTAATCTTAGATTTTTTTGCAAACAAACTGTTGTGCCATACGATCAATGTTAACGGACTAACGGTTGTTAAGTAACCAATGAATATGGTTTATTTTTAATGACCGATCATTACATAATATGCGCATTCTTATGCATATGCACTTGACCAAGATTAAGATGTATGACGTTAAACACTCAAAACCACATGAGCGACTTGTCACGGATATAATTATACACGTGGTTGTCACGCGTCATGTATTTATTAAACGTCCTAGAAAATGGCATTAATATGTATTTATACAATCATGAAAAGTATTTAATTTTACCGTTTAGGCTCAAATCTTTAGAGCACGTGTTAAAAATAAATTATTAGAAGACTTTACTCTGAGTAAGTTGACGGGGAGCAAGCATCCGATTTCTATTAGCAGATGTGCACGTTATATAATGTAAGTACAAAACACAGCCCCAATCTACACCAGTCGGCTTAAGTTGACTTTAGCCATATACTATGGATAAACGTACAGTTATCGATATAATTCGTACGAAAAACGTTCGGATTTTAATCGATTGCATTAAAATGAACTATAAAAAAGTTGACAGAAATATTATATTTTGTTTTCTATTTATTCGTATACTAAATCGGACCGTGTGATTATTCTTATAATATAATATATATTTGTAATTTATTATAATTGTTATATATTACATAAATATTTAAGCTAAATAAAAAAAGGGAAATCGTTATGAGAGTTTTAATAATTCATATCTTTATTGGATTAGTGAACTATACTCGTACAATAAAAATAAAAACACAGATTTTATGTTATTTTTATATTATAGTACTATAGATCTGCTGGAAGCGAAGAAATCTAATGTTAGGCTATGCAATACAATACTATTTTATATGTTTATATTAATTCATTCCTACGTTCCTATACTGTTACAAGACTGAAAACTTACTGCTAGGTATTAATTTCATTAGTCATATACTATAACATATATTATATTCAATAAAAATATATTAATAATAAAATTGAAAAATAAAATCATTTACGTATAAAATTTTAGTGAATTTAAATGATTCCCCTGGAAATAAAAACAAGGTGTTATATAGATTTAAAAATATGTATAAATATAGCGTGCAATATTATAATATTCTATAATATCAGCAATCTTATTTACCATATGTTCAATTGCCAAACAAAGTTAAGATCTCGAAAAAGATCCCATGACTTACGGAAAAATTAACAGGGCTGGTGTTAGGGTGGGGATAAAACGGGGTATTTGTCTAGGGTCTAGAACTTAAAATTTTCATTGAAAAATATTTTATATGGAAATATCGTAAAATAAAACATGAAATGAGTGGACTCGCCTGGCGAGTGCGATTTCTCGAGAAATCCGTTGGCGTGTAATAAAATAAATTACCAACAAAACAAAAATATTATAGTACATTTAAGGTCATGTATGCATTAACGACGATCCGTATGGAACGCCACATGGTATGGGGGCATCGTCCATTTGCGCCAAATTAAAAAAGGTATGTTTTTTCAGACAGCTAATTTGCGCCAAATTTACCTGTGTAAACATTTTAAATTAACGACTTAGTAAATTCTTATACTTTAAAGACGTCGTATCTATAACGTATAGTAAAGTTTTTTTTATAAGTCAATAGATTTTAAAGTTTTGTATTTTATTGGGTCGAAAGATAAACTAACAAATTTTATATCAGTTTTATTATGATGTATATATATACATATGTATGTATTATATGTATATATTATTATCGTACTCCGTTATCGGATACATAAGTATCGTTATTCGTCAAAAGAACGATCACAGTGTCATTTTATCAGATATTCATTACGTTACACTAAATAATATTCTCGAATTTATTAATTATTTGAATTATAAATCGTAAGAATGGAGTTCATGACAAGCACAAGAAGGAAAAAAATGGTTGTTGAAAATGGCCATAAGTTTACTTTGACGTATATATCTTCTAAAAATGTTGAACATGAATATTTAATTGAATATTATTTGAGAAAAAAATATATTACTTTATTATAATTATACCAGGTAAATTTGGCGGAAATAGGCTGTACCCAAAACGAATCCATTTTTTTTTTTGGCGCAAATGAGTAACAATCTGGTATGGAAACCTTAAAATTTGTCTTATCGCATTTCTTAAATTTAATTATTCATTGGGGTAGTTGAAAAATATAATGGTTTTAATTAATAAAAAATTAATTAATAAAAAAAATAGTGAAAGAAACTAAAGAAGCAAGAATTGATTTTAGTGATCAAGCGCAGTCGCCACCATAGACGTGCGCAGAGTTTCAAGTCGGGGGCAGCGAATATTTTTACCGGCCCATACATGAGTGTTAAGTTAAAAATTTTAAGTTCAGATTTAAATTTCAAAGCCTATTTATAGTTTAAACACAGAAAAGATTAGCTTGGTAGCAATACACTTTTTGGATAACCAACTTATTTTGTATTAAGCATAACCGGTGTGGCGACCCAGCTTGGACCAGTCGGTCTTTAAAAATATATTCAAACCATCCAGGGGCAGCAAGAACACACTTTGCTGTCCCTGTGTGCACACCTATGGTGGCCATACTCATTAACTCATGA